AGGATATGCTAGAGATATGCAGAGTTTTTTCTGACCCCCTCCCCAAATAAAAGAACAAAGGGCGTTGTCAACCAATTTCAGTGGGAAAAAACCAGCAACCTGAGTAATATCAGATCACCGCCAGAGTGATGCTTTTAGAACTCTGAATTCCTCTGACAAATTTGAAACAAATGTATAGTTCTGAAATGTCCTCAAGTGTTTTGAAAGATAGAAATGTCCAAATAAGAATATTATAAAACAAAGACAGACAAATAAGAAAATGCACTACAGTATTCCAACCTTTGTTCAGACAGTTCAAATTGGCTTATTTCCTGAAATGTGTTATATATACCTTTCATAATACAAACTAGACCCTCAAAGATAAGATCCTCAAAATACGAGCACAGCTATCCAATCCTACTGCTATCCATTGTTAGCTGTAGTACCTTGTTGCTGTGATTCTGTGTTAACTTTATGCTTTGCTATCGTCAAGACTTTTACAACTAATTTTCAGTAACCTTCAGAAATTTTCTAAGAAAGTTTTCTTAGGAAACACAGATATAATTACAGATTGTCATTTAAAAAATGACAATTTTCCATTGCTATTTCCATACAAATGATTGAATCCATGAGTGTCATGCCACAGTCCCCAACTTTAGGTACTCTGAGTACATATGCCTACTACTAAAAATCAAATGAAACATACAGTAACTTAAGTTCAGCAACAAAAGTTTCTCTAAATTAGAATATGAAATAAGGCAAGCCCTAAGCTAAGGAATGTCATCAATACAGAATTATAGTCAAAGAACACAATTTGTATTTCTATACTGAGCCCAAAATATATGTCTACCAGGTATTTACCCAAGAGAAATGAAAATATATGTCCACAAAAATACTTGTACATGATTATTTATAGCAGCTTTATTTATAATAGCTAGAAGCTGAAAACAACCTAAATGTCCTTCCTAGATGACTAGGTATACAAACTGTGGTATAGTCATGCAGTGGAATACTGATTAGTAATAAAAAAGAACTGATTACTGATAAATGCATCAATGAATCTCAGATAGATGCCAAGTAAGAGAAGCCAGACACATAGGTACTGTATGTACTGTATGATACCATTTGCTAGAATTGGCGAAACTAGAGTGACTAATCTAGAGGAAATGAGTGGTTACTAAGGCTTTGAGAGTTAAGGAAGTGATGAACTGCAAAGGAGTAGTAGTTCATTCTTTGGGATGATGAAAGTGTTCTATATTTTGATTGTAGTAATGGTTACGTAGATGTATCTGTTTGTCAAAATGTACTAACCTGTAGAGTTAAAATGGGAGCATTTTATCTTACATAAATTACATTCAAAAAGGTTGATAATAAAAATAAAACAAAGACCCCCCCCCCAATATGTATGTGCTGTGGGTATACAAAAGGTAACAAATAAGAAGTGGCATGATGGGCAGTTTGAATCACCCTGCTGTAATTATTATCAATTCTCTGAAACCCCATTCTTTAATATTGACTATTGCGGTTTTTTTTCAGTATCATTAAAAAAAATTAATAGACTTTATTTCTTAGAAAATATTGTTTACAGAAAACTGAGCAGATAATAGAGAATTCTTATGTATGCCAGTCACAGTTTCCTCTTTTATTAACATCTTGCATTAGTGTGGTACATATGTTATAACTGATGAACCAATATTGATAGACTGTTGTTAACTAAAGTCCATAGTTTTTATTAGAATTCTTTGTGTTGTATAGATTTATAGGTTTTGACAAAAGCATAATGTCATATATCCACCATTAGTGTCAAAATGATAATTTTGTTGTCCTAAAAATGCTGTATGCTCCACATATTCATACCTTCTCTTTTTGCCCTCTTCCCCCAAACTCTGGCAAACACTGATCTTTTTACTGTCTCTATAGTTTTGCCAACTACAGTTTTTTTTCTCTCATTCTTTTGGGTAAGTGCTATGTACACACAGGTTTATGTTTCTTATCTCTGCCATCCAATCAGATTACCTCTCCTAACTCTTTCTTTTATATAATTTATCTTTTCCTGAGGACCTCCTGGAGGGTGGTGGAAGAGATCTGCCTACTACACACGGTGGCAGAGAGAGCTATTCTCCCCAGTATCCATTCTGCCCTTCTTTCTTCTAATAATAAAACAATCTCACTCTGTCAAGCTTTGACTGAGCCCTTGGCTACCTAGCGAGAGACTGCATTTTCTACCTTCCTTGTATCTTGGTGTGGCCTGTGGGATATGAGCCGAAAGACTATGTACAAGTGATATGATTGTACTTTCTTATAAGATTGAGAAAATAAGACATTTCCCATGCAATTTTGTACTTGTGTCTGATTCTTGGGCCATACTACCTTAAGGATATTGTGAATTAATATTACAAGATAATTCCCGTAATGTGAAAGGCACAATTATACTGCATTGTAATTTTTGGTAATAAAAATATTCATTGGTTAAAGGAAAACGCTAAATGCAAAGCTTCGATAAACTTATTTTGAATTTTTTTTTTTTTTTTTTACTTTACAGTGTCTCAATAAAACAAAACAAATAAAAAGCCAGAAGGCTTAACTTCTATGAGGCCCTGTGGGAAACATGGGTTTAAAATGTAGTGGACAACCAGAAGCCTGTGAAGGTAAGTAAAGGAAGGTCAAGGGAGCCGGAGGAGATTCAGGGGATTGTAGTTTTATGGAAGCTAAGGGAAACAAGACTTTCTAGATGTGATCAACATGTCCAAATGAAGTGGAGAAATCCAATGAAATAAGGAGTGAAAGGAATTTGATCATTAGTCTCAGTTTTCATGTCTATAAAATGGGTATCTTTGTGTAGTTATCATACAGTTAACTATGTTTCTGGTTTATGGAGGGTTCTCAATGAATTTTAGTTTCCTTCTCTTTGTGATTAATTCATTGTTTTATTCAGCAAATACTTATTACTAGTGAGGAACTCTGTTAGAGGCTGGCTATGCAATGACCCTAAAGCACTCTGTAGTGTTGTAGGGTAAACACAAACAGGCCAGTACTATTCCTTGCCAAGAGTGATAAGATGAAAGGAAGTATATCAAAGTTAGCTGATTTACTTTGCTTTGTGTTTTTGTTTTTGGCAGATGAACTATGAAACTTAAAAACATGTCAAATGCAGGGGCGCATGGGTGGCTCAGTTGGTTATGTGTCCATCTTGTGATTTTGGCTCAAGTTGTGATCTCACGGGCAGGGGATCGAGCACCAAGTGGGGCTCCCATCTGAGCGTGGAACTTGATTAAGATTCTCTTTTTCCTTCTCCCTCTGCCTTTCCCCGCTCTTGTGCACCCACTCTCTCTCTCTCAAAATAAATAAATAAACACTTAAAAGTAGTCTAAAAAATCTCAAATGCATAATTTTTTAACATGGTATTGTTGATGCATGAAAGTGTGTCTAGATTATTGAATACAGTGCCAAGCAATGCATTCTTATTTTTGTATGTGAAAGTTTTATGTTTTTCAAATAACTGCTTAAAGCTGAAGGCGACACCCATCCACTAAAGTTCTCACTCAGAACTCACTGCCCTATACTTAAAAAAAAAAAAAAAGCCAGTGAATACTTTTAATTGGCAGCTATCTTATTCATTTATATCCACAGTTGCTCAAGTATGTTAGGAAATTCATTTATGAGCAGTATCTTTTTTTTTTTTTTGGCAGTATCTTTTTTTACATTGAGTTTTATTTTACATATAGTAAAATCTATCCCATTTATGCGTTTTGGCAAACAAAACAACAGGTGTAATCACCAACACAATTAAGGTATAGAACAGTTCCATTACCCCCCAAAATTTCCTCAAGCTCCTTTTTAGTCAACTCCTTTTCCTGATCGCTATTGATGGGTGTTCTGTCCCTTTTTAAGAACTTTTTATTTTGAAATGATTATAGAGTAACAAGAAACTGCAAAAATAGTACAGAATCTCATGTACCTATCACCTAGATTTCTCCAATGGTGATATCTTACATAACTGTGGTACAAGATCATAACCATTCCCTGTACGTTTGAAGGCAGGTTTTCCTTTCACTTCTTTGCCTGTATTTACTCTCTTCTTTTCACACGAATTTAATTCTGTTGTGTTAAAAGGAGCAGATGCTAGTTTTCCGTCAGATGTCTTCTGTTGCATTTTCAGTATTTCAGTTCGATCACCCCTGTTACTCCTACATCTTTCTGTGGTCTTTTCTTTATCCCACCGTCCCCAACCCCCAATTTAATTCTGCTGCTAGATTTTTTTTTTTTCCCTGAGATATGTATCACAGATGGTACTATTGTCAATTTTCGAATTGCTAACTTCTCCTTTGGTCTTCCGTTTTAAAGGAGGTAGTCCTGCCTGTGCTTAATTGTGGCGCTTACAGTAGTTTTACAGTGTGTGTATGTATGTCAGGGTGTTAGCCGGTTTGATTCCCCAACCTCCGTGAAGGTTCTTGCTCGACCCTTTCTCCATTAGTTACCCTTTTATTTTCCAGATATTTGACTATTTGTTGGAAGAAGGGGTGGAACGACCCTTAGAACATGTGGCACCCGTCTCTCAGGTTTGGGTTTGCCTGCCGCGCCTCCCCAAGTGGGCAGCCTCTGTGGACGCGGGGCGCAAAGCAGCCGTTCGGTTCCCCCGGCCGGTGAGATGAGGGGCGGGGCCTCGGCTCCAGTGGCAGTGGGCAACCGGGAGGTCACGCCCCCTGGCCCGGGCCCTGCGCGCGCGGCTGGCGACGTCAGGCACGGGCGCGAGCTTGGTCCCATGGTGCGCGGGAGGTGCTGGTGCGCATGCTCTGACTCGGTCGCCTCGGTAGCGGTGGCCGAGGGAGGGTTGGGCCTTTCTTTTGGTGTTCCTCTGTGCGCGTGGGCTCTGCTCGTCTGTTACGGTCTCCGTAGCCCTCGGGAGCCCATTATTCTCTTCCTTGAGGCCGCCGGTTGGGCGGCAGCGGGCAGAGCGATGGGCACCTCACCCCGGCTCCCCTCCCCCATGCCCGTTGCCCCGCCCGTCCTGGGCTGGGCGACGGGGTCAGGGGCCGAGCGGAGCTGGGTGAGTATTCCCACAGCATTTGGCTGGCCGCCTCTTCCCGGCTCTGCTTACCGTAGGGTCCTCATCGTACTCTGGGATGGGGTGGAAGGGCGGGGCGGGTGGGCGGCTAACAGCCCAGCCCTGAACAAAAGACTGGGAAGCGGGGCGCTTGCTGGTGAAATGCAGGCCGCGTCCCAGCGGTGGTGGGACGAGCTTCTCTTTGGGCGTGGGGAGTCGCAGTGGGAAGGAGGGGGCGCACCCAGTGTGACCTGCTCTCTTTGGCCACTACAGAGCCCTCACGGACAACGTGGGTGGTTACTACCATGTGTTTAAGCCTGCGCGGGGATAGCAAGTCTTTGTCCGTGTGACCTTGAAACAAAGGGTCTTAAATTACCAGTGATTTCAATGTCCAAGTTACACTTAACTTGAAGGGGTTTCACATTCATTAAGGATCAGGAGGAATAAGTTAATATTTATAGCCAACAATTTTTCTTTTCCCAAATTATCTGCTTATAATATCAAATCATGAACGGGGTAGTTAACTGGTTTATAGATACACGTTTATGATGGCAAAAATTATAAACATCTAGCAAAAGCAAAAGGATAGCTCAGAATGAAACCTTGTCTAAGAAGCCCACCTGAGGATGAATTAATTATCTAGCGGACTACACCGTTGTTTGACCGTTATTGATTAGGGCCCAGGCTCAGCAGTTACTTTTTTTTTTTTTGTCTAATGGAGATGCAAATTATTTTTTACTGGTAGAAAAAGTACTCCTGAAGGTTGTGATTTTATTGCCCTATTTCCAAGATTTTTATAATTTTTGTGAGAGATAGTGCGAGTGAGGGAGAGGCAGAGAGGGAGAGCAAGAGCGAGGGAGACACAGAATCTGAAGCAGGCTCCAGACTCTGAGGGGTCAGCACCCAGCCTGTGATGGGGCCCTAACGTGAACCTTGAGATGACCTGAGCCAAAGGTGGAGGCTTAACCAACTGAGCCACCCGGGCGCCTCAACAGTGGCCTCACTCTTTAGTGACAAAAGCTTAAGTTTATACTTTCAGAATTGAAAAACATAGTCCCTCAACAACATTATTGGACCCCAAGTAGAATTCTTACTTCTTGCTTCTGAAGAGTTGAATATGGACGAAAGGAAACATTTACAAAATGAAAATTTGATCTAAAAAGAAATGTTGAATATTGAGAAATGCAAATTAAGAGATTGCAATTCCAAGAATTAAACATTGTTATTGTTATTTTAATTGAGGAAGTTAGTGGAAACAGTTTCTGGTTCTACCCTGGTTTCATTTGGATATAGGTAGACTTACAGGATTGTTTCTCCTTACATTCTTCTCCCTTTGCCAGTTCCTTTCCCCCTTTATTTAGGATTAAATGAGACACTGCTACATGATGAGGCAATCAAGATGGCCATAACGTTTTATGACAAATTCTAAATTGATAGCAGGTCTTAATGCTTATACATTTCTGAGAAAGATCAGCAACTCTTTAAGGAAAAATATGTCTGCTTTATATAAGTAGATTGTTCGAGTCTGAGTTTGATTTGATTCTTAATATCTTTGAAGCCTAGAGATGTTTGGGACTCTAGAGGCAGTGTTTGAATCATAAACACAGTCAGGAACTATAACAACAACAAAGTGCCATAGAGATTATTTAGTGATTATGTGTTGAAAACAAATGTCTTCAGGGGCCAAGCAGACTGGGTATAAAAGGATTGGAAAGTAGGGGAATGGAGAATAAATCCTACCTAAAAGCATCCAGAATAGGGAAAGGTTGCTGAAAACTGTAAAACCAGAGGTACCTCTAAAGAGCTTGGTACTTCAGTCCTTGAAGAGCTGATCTTATAGGCTTGCAGAACCCAGGAACATACTAATACAAGTTTATCTTTGAGATTAGGGTTGTCTCATATCACTGTCATGTAATAGCCTTCAGAGAAAACTTTTAAAATAATCTCTATGCTAGCTCAAGAACCTACAGTGGTTTCTTATTGCTCACTGTTTTAAATGGAATTTCTTCATAGAGTTTTGGAGTTATCTGTAAACTGCTTTCCTTCCCTTCCTCCCTCCCCACCACTCCCCTACTGCCTGACTTTCCTATAGACTAAGTTCTCATCTTCATGGTGGTCAAAGGAAAGAAAGAAGCATACCACTTCTCAGGAAAAACACAGCTTTCTGAGAGGTAAATATTTATTGACAGAAATGCAGGTTGTGATCTCAGATTTCAAAAATATGCTAAGAAACACTATTGTTAGTTTTCTAGACTTCGTTAAAATTTTTTTTTCAAGTTTATTTATGTATTTTGAGAGGTAGGGGAGGGGAAGAGGCGACAGGAGAGAGAGAAAGAGAGAATCCCAAGCAGACTCTGCACTGTCAGTGAAGAGCCCACTGCAGGGCTCAAACTCAACAGCTATGAGATCATGACCTGAGCTGAAGTTTGATGCTTAACTGACTGAACCACCCAGGCACCTCAAGGCTTTGTTTACTTTTAACCCACTTCCTAGTGTTTCTTAATGGGGGCTCATCTGGCATTTTTATGGAGCTGCCTCATACCTTGTAGATGCTCTTTGTATCTGTTCCCTGAGCATTAAATTGCAATAGCTAACTACACACCCTCCTATTTGTGACAACTATGTTCTCACTCATTTCCAAACAACTTCTTTGAGAATGGTCCCTCCCAATGTTGGGAACCATTGGACCATATCAGCCTATGCTTTACCCAATCTATGCACATGTATTGGCACTTTATTTTTAAAACTTAGCAAACTTTTCAGGCCCTTTGTTGAAGAGCTCTTCCATTTCTTTGACATGACTTTGTCTCTACTTGGTAAGCCCTCATTCATGTATCAAAATTCAATTCTTCAAGAACTGGATTCAAGTCTTCTAGACTCCTTCTTTTAGAGTCTTTGATTTTCCCAGGAAACATTTGACATTCCTTTCTATGAGGACACACACAGCAAAGTGCTGGGATATTGCAGGTGCCAGGTGAATGAGTGAAAGCTTGTGGAAGTAAGAAGGTATGCTAATCTAGTTTTTTGTTTTAAGTTTATTTTGGGAGAGAGAGAGCCCATGCAAGTGGGGGAGAGGCAGAGAGAGAGGGAGTAAGAGAGAATCTCAAGCAGGCTCTGCAGTAACACAGAGCCTCACATGGGGTCAAACTCATGAACCTTCCGTGAGATCATGACCCAAGACAAAATTGATAGATGCTTAACCAACTGAGCCACATAGTGCCCCTCTAGTTTTTTTTTTTTTTTTTTTTTTTTTTTTTTTTTTTTTTTTTTTTTTTGAGAGAAAGAGCGTTTGAATGAGCATGCGTGAGCAGGGGCGGGGCAGACAGAGAGAGGTAGAGAGAGAATCCCAAGCAAGCTCCACACTGTCTAGTAGCCCATGCAGGGCTCCATCTCACTAAGTGTGAGATCATGATCTGAGCCGAAATCAAGAGTTGGTCATTTAATTGACTGAGCCACCCAGCTACCCCATCTAGTTTTTAATGAAGACTTTGTGAAGAAAAAGAGAATGTTTCTTTCATTAAAAAAAGTTGAACACTAATTCTTTTCTTTTTAAGAGAGAGAGAATCCCAAATAGACTCAATGCTCACTGTGGAGCCCCACATGGGGCTCCATCCCGTGACACTGGGATCATGACCTGAATGGAAAGAAATCAAGAGTCAGATGCTCAACCAACTGAGCCACACAGGTGCCCCACCAATTATTTTTTTAATGGCACTTGGTAGTATATTTTAAAAATATATGGCTTTATCATCTATTTTCAGAATAGCAGAGTCTGTAGTTTCTGATACAGACTTTTTCTGTATCTTCTTATTTGTGGAATAACTTTGGTCAGACTCATTAGTTCCTGGTTCTGGCCTAATTAGCATACATGCAGACAAGTTAGTCTCTACAAGTCCCACTCAGTATTCAAAAGCACAAAGAGCTCAAATCATCACCAATGGTGGATCAATTTCTCTTGTGTGCTTACAGAAAAGTCTTGTTTTATATAAAGATATGATAATCTTCTTATAAAAATGACACTGGTATCAGAAAGATTAGATGTCATATAAATCTGTTGTTTGAATGGGAAAAGACCAATTGGTGAATAAACTTGAAAGTAGAAGAAGGGTACAATAGGTAGAGATGTATAAAATAAATTCATTTAAATTTTTAATTTTCTTTTCTTCATTGCAACTTTTATTTGTTTACAGTGTGCCTGACTGTGTTATAGGTGCTAAGATGCAAACTTGTAAGTCAAAAATTTTCAGATGTTTAGACATTGCTCTATCGACTTTTGGTGTTCCTTGCTGTGGAGGAAATGGCTGAGGCTACTTTAATTTTTGTTCCTGTGTAGATAAACTTTTTCCGCATCTTTGTTTTATTTATTTATTTATTTATTTATTTATTTATTTATTTATTTATTTTAATGTTTATTTATTTTTGAGAGACAGAGACAAGAACAAGCAGTGGGTTAGGAAGGCAGAGAGAGGGGAGACACAGAATTCAGCAGACTCCAGGCTCTGAGCTGTCACACAGAACCTGACGCTGCCTGAACTCACAAGTTGTGAGATCATGACCTGAGCTGAAGTCGGACGCTCAACCTGACTGAGGCCCCCAGGTGCCCCTCCTTTTTAGTTTTTTAAAATAAGATATTCCACTCTGCTACCTCTAGGCATAGATATTTCCCCCCAACAGTTTTCTCAGAAACACAGTGAATCCTCTCAATTTATAAAAGTAAATATGTTTGATTTTTTTTTTTCTAGCTCAGGAGTAATTTTTCAGTGGTATGTTTGCCTATGATTTCAGTTCAGAAATGCCAGTTATTTGTAGGTTGGATTTGTGGTCTTTGTCCTCTAATCTATCAATATGCTTTGTTTACATCTTGGTCCTTTTCCTTCTGTGTTAGGAGATCAACTCACATGTATATGTTAAAATACTAATTAGATTTTTTCCAGCTTCTGTACTTCTCTGTATTGCCTCTCATATAGAATTTAAATCTCTACTATTATTATATATTTGAACTC